CTAGCATACATCCATCTCCTATTAGGATTAGAAAGTCACATTGTTAGTAGAGTGTGGTTAGATGTTGTTGTGGTCATCTTTGGAAAAATATCATCTGCCACAGTCTACCCTTAGGCCAAATAATTCATATCCCTCACACATTCAATAGTCTCAGCCCCTCCTTGAAGACCTCCCCAAACTTATCCCCTGATAGTATCAACTTAAGGTCCCAGGATCTCCAAATAATTGAGAAAAGAACAGCGACAGAAAAAAAAAAAAAACTAGAAAAGAATAACCTAAAAACAAAAATACAAGAGGGGAATTCAAAAAAACCAAAGTAGATTTGAAAAGTTGATAAATAAAAATTACTTAAAAATCAACTTTTTATTATTTTTCTACAAATCCATCCTAAAAACAAAGAAAAAACTCACAGTGTATGCAAATGTAAATATGTATAGATAATTTGAAAATAATGAAACTCTTTAAGCATATAAAAATATATCAGTTGTTTTATAGTTTATGTTACATATGTATTAATGGAGTAATACACAATAGCATTTTGGGATAATGTTCCTGAATAACTTTAATCATTATTAAATTACTCATATTATAATATAAAGTGGAAGTAAATATATAAATGCATATGCTTCAACTATATAATTATATGCATAGAAAATCTCTAAGGAAAAGAATCAGTAGTTTCCAAATTTGCTGCAAAATTGTATAATAGAGCAAAATCATTTAAAGAGCTTGCTATTTTACATTTTCTAATAAAAATTTATTTTGACAATACAGCAGCTCTTTGAGCTAGAGGGATAGACAATATAAATGAAGCCCCAATTGTGTGTATGTGTGTGTGTGTGTGTATGTGTGTGTTCCTGCCCCTCTAGATCTAAGGGAGATTAGTTCGGACTCCAAATTTTATGTACTGAATTCATAAAATCAGAATGTCCTCTGCATCTTTTTAGTAACATTGTCCTGAGAGCAGAGGAAGCGAGCATGGCACCAAGGACCCAACTCCTGACACAGAGTAGTTATTACATCATTGTCCATTTGTTCCCTTTCTTTTTCTTTCCCTCTGTGACCCTCTAATCCTCAACATTAAATAGCAGGTGAGGTCAAATGATTCTCTAAAGGCATAATTAGTACATAGTTATTGGAATAGACTAAATTCTCACGGTACTTTCATGCAGGTCCATTGAGAGTGGGTTGCAGCCCAGTGAGAAAACATTACAGGGTGGAATCAGCAAGGGTACCAGGTTAAGAATCTTTACATAACTGGGCCGGCATGGTTTAGTGGTTGAGCTTCAACCTATGAACCAGGAGGTCACGATTGGTTCCGGTCAGGGCACATGCTTGGGTTGTGGGCTCGATCCTCAGTAGGGGGAGTGCAGGAGGCAGCTGATCAAAGATTCTCTCTCATCATTGATGTTTCTATTTCTCTCTCTCTCTCTCTCTCTCAAATCAGTAAAAACATATTTTTAAAAAATAATCTTTATATAGGATTTATGACATGCAACATACTGAGACTACCAATTATTGTACTCACTTTCTCTGACCTGCCCTCCTTTTCAATATTTACTTCAGTGGTATAATTATTCCTGATCATCAGAATGTCAGTGAATTTTAATTTCATTGGAAGGAAAAACGTGTGGCATGATTTCTGGAAATCAGTAGGGCAGCATTGGCTGTGTGATCTAAGATAAGTTACTTAACTACATTCTGCATGTAACATGGCAGGAAAAAATTTGTTAGCAGTTGGCACCAGAATTCTGTTTAGGGAGTGTGCTGTTTGTGTCTGGAACTACTTCTTGCTAACTTCTGGGTCAGGGAGAGACGAAAGGGTGTGATATTGTTGCAAAGTTGGATCTGAAGTAGCAGAGGGTAGAACTGTTGGGATGAGCCAAAGAGAGGACATAAGAAAGCAAAAAGGGCTGGAAAAGGGAAAAGCAATGAAGGATTAGGAAAGAAATCTTTGGGAGCTTTAGGCAAGTTTGTTAGAAAATAACTCAGATCTCTGAAATCAATTGTAAATTATTTTTCAGAAATTATGTGTTCTGAGATTATTTCCCCTTGATATACCCCTCACCATCTTTGCCCTTCAAATTTCTAATATATCTGCATTTTTGTATATGGTATCTGTGTGTACGCACGTGTGTATAAATGGTAAAGTGACTGTTTCATCTGAGATTAACATGGTTTGTGCTGTGAATAATGGCTCCTCCCGGGTAGAGAGGGCCTTGAAAGTGTAACCTTCCTGGGAATGTTCAGAGCATCCTTCCTGGCAAGTGCTTCATTTGTACTGACTGCATGGACTTTTTGGAATGTAGGCACTCTCTTGATTCACAAAGAGATTTTGTTACCGCTGAAGCACTTGTGCCCCAGCTTAACTGTGGGAGGCAACCTTAAAAGTGAGGCCTGAAACTCGCTAATTATCTCAGTAAACTCCTTATGTGCTCAGAGTTTCTTCCGGCAAGATGGTAGGCGCCCATCTGTGAACGCTTCCATTTCACACAGTTCATTGTGGTTCAGGGATTTCAGATTGTTCAGCTATTAATGAGCTTTCCTAATATCCTCATAAGAAATAATAGGGTAGGAATAATTATTAGTATGTATATGAATGTTTCTATAGTCTGAAAATTACATCATTGTTAAGTTTATATGTGTAAGTAATTTTACTGGTGAATATAAACCAAGTTGAGTAAATAGAATATAGTTTTAGAATTTATTAATTATAATTGTTTTGGTTGTATATTAGTTAATCAGTTATATGTTCTTATTGAAAAATGCTTTCCAACTTGAAATATAAGAATGTTCTTAGAGAACACACATTATATTATAGAGAAATGTAGATACGTGGTCTCTACAAGTTCTGTTACTAAAACTGCCTTAATTTGTTTAATAGAAAGATTTTTTGGAAGGCAAGGAGGGATGGGTGGGAAAAGGTTACCCAAAGAACTTACTTATATGCATACTAGAAGCCCGTTGCACGAAGATTCGTGCAATAGGCCTTCCTTCCCCTGACTGCTGGCATCGGTTTTCCTCCGGCACCCGGGACCCAGGCCTTTGGTCCAGCCGCAGTGGAGAAGTCAAGCCTTGAGGCTAGGCTTTTCTCCTCTGGCCGCAGTGAGGCTTGGCTTCTCTGCTGCAGTCTTCAGTCTTCACTCTGGCCGGAGCCTTTAGTCTTTGCTCCACACCTGTGTATGCAAATTAACCGCCATATTTGTTGGGTTAATTTGCATAGTCACTCTGATTGGCTGGTGGATGTAACAGAGTGACACCAATTTGCGTGTTTCTCTTTTATTAGTGTAGATATGCATAACCCATGGACACAGACAATAATGTGGTGAAGGCTTGGGGAGGGGCTGGGGGAGATGGAGAGGGTCAATGGGGAAAAATGGGGACACCTGCAATACTTTCAACAATACAGATACATTTTAAAAAATCAGAATTTTAGCATTTGGTTGGCCTCTAAATTGATATTCATTTTAGCTTAAGTTTTCACTATTATCTTTTATATCTGTAACAACCAACACAACAAAAATCAGAGTCTTGATATAAATGATTGACAAGGGTAGAATGTAAGTTGATGAGAAGATAGCATATTTGATAAATATAGTTGCAAGTACTAATGAAGGGAAAGGCAAAAGGAAGGGATGCCCACAAGATAAAATTACATATTTTATTGATTATGAGATATACAGTTTTCATATTTTAGCATCTTTAAGACTGAGCTGCCTTTTATAGCTTCTGTTGACCAAATAGAATCTTGGTCAACTGAAGCTGTACAAGGTCATCTTTGTTGCCTGAACAAAGATGACCTTGTTCATAGCTGCTCCTATATTGTCATCTCAATTGAAGTTTGTGCATCATAGGTTCTGTACATGTTGAGTTTGAGTTTGATTGGCATTTAAAATATCTCAAAAAAGATGCCAAAACTATAATAATAAAAGCATAATATGCTAATTAGACCAGACATCTTTCCAGACGTGCTTCTGTCCTTCCAGACAAAGCCAGGGCTGCGAGGGAAGCCCGGGTCCAGAGTGCCATAGTCGCTATTATAAAAACATTGGCTTATAGTTCTATTGGCTATGTTCTTTGTGTGTGTGTGTGTGTGTGTGTGTGTGTGCGTGTGTGTGTGTGTGTGTTATTGGCATATAATATGTTAGCATCTTAGATTTGATGGAATATGATTTATTTTAAATAAACAATACCTGCCAATTACTTGGAAAGAAAAATGATTAGTTAGAAAAGAACGGCTGACTGGTGTGGCTCAGTGATTGAGCATCAACCTATTAACAAGGAGGTCACGGTTTGATTCCCGGTCAGGGCACATACCTGGGTTGCTGGTTCCATCTCCAGTTGGGGGTATACAGGAGGCAGCTGATCAATGATCCTCTCTCATCATTGATGTTTCTATCTCTCTCTCTCTCTCTCCCTTTTTCTCTGAAATCAATAAAAAAATATTTTTAAAAAGAGAAAAGAATGAATGTTTGGAGGCACACAGAAAGAAAACAGTAAGCATTGTATAAACTTTAGGTACATAGAACTGATACATGGAGAGGCAAGTAATGCAAATGTTAACATTATCCTGATTTTTTCAGTGAAAAACATTAGTGATAGACAAGGTAAATGATTTGCTTCAATCAGATAGTAACTGGAAGAACTGGCTTGAACCTAGGTCTTTGGACTCTTTTCAGGAAAGTAGTTGAAGAGAAACCAGCTGGGGGTTATGGTTGAAATCATGGCTTAGCCAGGTCTCACTGGGAGAGAAGAGAAAATTCAAGAGGCCAAGAATGAGTTTACCACTTAGAAAGGAAAGGGAAGATTTATTGATGTAAAGATAGATGGGGAAACTCTTGAAGAGGCAAACAAGAGTGATTTTATATTATTGCATAATCATTAATTCCATTATTATACAATATTATATATTAATGAATTTAAATAAATGCTATCTATGTTCTGATGACTCCTAAATTTGTCCTCCATCTAGTACCTATTTCCACACTCACATATTCAACCCTCAGCTTGGCTAACCTATTTGGATATCTAATGTGAGTATCAAACTAAACTAATCAGAAGTCTTAATCTTCCCCCCCACCCCCCGCCCTCTTTCCCATCTCAATAAATGGCAACTCCATTTTCTAGTTGCTCAATTCAAAAATCTTTGAGGTCTCCTTGACTTATCTCTTTCTCTCACACTTCACATTTGATTAACTCCACTGCCAAATTATAATAAACCTACTTTCAAACATTGTAACTATTTCTCATCTCCTCCACCGCCACTACCTAGGTCCAAGCCACCATCATCTCCCTCCTTGAGTTATTGCAATTGTCTCCGAACAAAACTTTATGCTTCCACCTTTACCACTTATGCCAGAAACCTTGACTGTTTTAGAGCTGGGGACTGGGAGTCATTTTAGGTGAAGAATTGGACAGGAATCTTTAGTGTTATTTAGATCGTACCAATTTATATGGCCAGTTAGCCTAGGGCTGATTATCCTGCTGCCAAAAGATTAATAGTGGCTTTTGGAGAACGAATGGGAAACAGCCCCCAGTTTCTGTATTACAAAGCCCCATAGAGGATAGATTCAGAAGCCTACTGCCACCCTCTAAGACCAGAAGCTCTTAAAAGGGTGTTTTTATTTTGGGTTACACATCATTCTAACAAACCTGTGAAACAGAAAGGCTGCATTTTTAGAATATTTGCTAGATAATAACCTGTGGCTGATATCACTAAACAGCCCAGAAGACAGAGTTTTCATAACACTAATTCTCATTGGATAAAAAGGTTTTCTCATTAGAAGCATTTGTTATTTTGCAAGAGCTTTTGGTTATTATTTGTGTAAACACAATTCTTATTTTTATTTATTTTTAATATTTTTATTGATTTCAGAGAGGAAAAGAAAAGGAGAGAGAGATAAATTTAGAAATATCAGTGATGAGAGAGAATCATTTGCAAATAGAGATGTCATAGAAGACTGGAACTGGTGATTATTAGTACGTATATTATTTGACCTCTGCTGCACTTAATACTGTTATTTCATGCTTCCCTGAAATTCTTTTCTTCTTGAGTCACAACACACCTCTTTGTCTTGTTTCTTGTTAGCTTCCTTTGTTGATTTTTTAAAAATCTACCCCTTTACTGTTGCTGTTCTCAGGTGTTGCCTCTCAGCTCTCTTCTTTGTCATGTATTTGCCTTCCCTTGGGGAAAACATCCTTTAGCTTTCTCACTCAGCCATTAGCATTATCCCAGCCTTGCTTCTCTGTGCTGCAGACAGTTATCTGTCTTCTGGCTGTCTCCATTTAGAAGCCCCACAGGCACACATTTCAGTGTGTCCCCAAAGTGAATTAATGATCTTTCTCACCAAACCTTCCTTGTCCCAGGAGTCCCTACCACAGTTATGAGCACCATCCATCAAATCACTGAGGTGGCTGACTTTTGAGTCATCTTTGTAACTCCTCACTTTATCATCCAGATCTACTTAAACTACAAAGCCCTATCAAAATTACTTTCATATTATTTATTAACTTTGTATTATCTCATTATTTCCACTGCTGTTGCCTTTATGGTAGTCATAAAAATCCTTTGCCAGGGCTCAAATAGTGTCCAGAAATCTTCCTTCAATCGGATTTTTCCCCCTACAGTACGAATTTGTCTTCTAAAATCCACATTAAAATTTGTCACTGGCTCCCCATTACTTCCTAAATGAAGTCTCAGCTTACCATCCCTCCCCATACTCTCTCATTTGCCTCAAATGCCAGCATCACTCTTCACTCCTCAAGACCATGCTCACCAGAACCTCTGCATACATGCAGTGTCCTTGGCCTAGAGTGTCCTTCCCCTCAGTATCTCTTATATGACTTAGCAGTGACTCTGTCTTTTTCATCTTTTTATTCCCAGAACCTACCAGAGTGTTTGACACAGAGTAAGTCTTCAGCAAGTAGTTGGGTTAATATATATCATTATGATGCAGTGTTTTATTCTAACTTTTAAATCATCACACATGAATACATGGACCAAAATATTTTCAAGAGAACTGAAAAATAAGGAGAAAAGGAAGTCAAATGCTAGAATCTTCGAGGAATTTTCACTAACTGCAGTGAGGAGAGAGTTGAGAGTCATAATTTTGAACTAAGCCTGCTGAACAAGAATAGCATAGAAATCTCAGAAGAAGATGGGGAAAGGCTGTGACTCAACCCCATTCTACCCACTGGCAAAGAAACACAGAAGATCCCCAGGTCGTGTGAATTCTTAGCTTGATGAAGTCATTGCCCTTCCTTCATCAGTTTCTCTCTTTCCTCAATCACTTGGAAACCACCTTTCACAATACATAGCATGCATGGGTAGAGAGTGACAGGTAGAGGCAGTAGCACTTTGCAGGCTAAATTGTGTGAAAGCTGGAAAATGTTCAAAAAGGGAAGATGAAGATGAGAGGAAGAGCCCTAAGAATAGTGCCTGTGGAGGTAAAATTTTTACTTCTATCTCTGACTGGAGAAGAACTGAAGCCTACATATGACTCCCTAGCAGTCAGACAACAGGCTAGTTGGAGTGGATGATCCTCCCTTAGTCCAGCAAAAACATGAGATAAATGCTTGCCAGACACCAGAAACGAGGCTCTGGGCTCAGCTCTTTAGTATTCTGTGTAGGTCTAGATTCAGAAAAGAAAATGTGCAACACGTAAATGATCAGTAATGGTGGGTAAGAAGCTACCATTCACCCATGTAGCCACATATTGTTTTGGATGTGTGTGTGTGTGTGTGTGTGTGTGTGTGTTTGTTTACTATTTAAGAAAAATTAAAATATATACATTTAGGGCTAGCCGGTGTAGTTTAGTAGTTGAGCATCAACCTATGAACCATTAGGTATGGTTTGATTCCCAGTCAGGGCACATGCCTGGGTTGCAGGCTCAATCCCCAGTAGGGGGTATGAAGGAGGCAGCCGATCAATGCTTCTCTCTCATCATTGATGTTTCTATCTCTCTCCATCTCCCTTCCTCTCTGAAATCAATAAAAATATATTTTAAAAAGAAGAAAGACAAAATGTAGAAAAGAAAGCAAGAACATACCTTTCCCCTTCTCCCTTCCTCTCTGAAAGCAATAATACACACACACACACACACACACACACACACGCACACACACACGGTATAGATCCTACAAAACATTTTGCAACACAAGGAAAAGTAACTGAAAGACTCAGAGGAAAAACACAAATAAAAATTTTTTTTCAGAGGGAATAAAAGAAATTCTTTCAAAGCCTTAGCTTTATGTATTTAATACAGATTGACCCACGGGGTGCCAGAAATGTTTAGAACAACAGAGAATGAGTTGAAAGTGGAGAGGCAAAGGGAAATGACTGAGAGCAGTCAGAACTGCAAAGAAAGCAATACTTAAAGAGAGCAATACATTTCACATCGGATGCAGCAAAGAGCAGAGTTAGAGTGCAGAAAATAAAGTTTGTAATATTTCAACTCTATAAATGTAGAGCAATAAAAAAGAGGTACATGATAAAAAATACAATGGAGGAAAAATAAAGGAGATTCAATGTATATATTTTCTGGAAAAAAAAATAAAAAAGAATAAAAAATAAGTAATCATCAGACTCAATCAGGAAAAAAAGGCTTAGAAAATACCTTTCTCAAATACCTTTCTTGAATTACTTATGATATGTTCTATGAATATATGCATGATAGCTGTGAGCCAAATACTCAAGATTAAGAAATTTGATGTCTAAAGTACTAATAGTAAAATTCAAAAGCAATTAAAATGTAGGGATCACAGTATGGTGATTATAGGAGGGAAAAGGGCATGAGCGGGGGTAAAAGAGGATAAAAGGGGATAAATGGTGATAGGAGACTTGACTTAGGGTGGTGAACATAAGTATAATATACAGATGATGTATTATAGAACTGTACACCTGAAACCTATATAATTGTGTTAACCAGTGTCACCTGAATAAATTCAATTAAAATATAATTATAAATACGTAAAAAATGTAGGGAATTAACAGTGGTAAATATTTTAAAGCCAGTTTGGTGGTGGAGAGTAAAGACATTACTTGTAGTTTGCCCACTTCTATGGTTTAAGTACATTGTTAGTGTGGCTAACGTCCAGCTACCAATGTGGAGTCCATGTGGAGTTGGAGAGAAATGTGCACAGTTGAGTCTCACCTGCCTTTAAGGAGTGAGCTTCGGGTAGACCCGTTAGTTCCCAATTTGAGAAAAACAATTTAAAAATTTCATCTCATACTGTATATAAAAATCAACTGTGTACTCATTGTATTAGCTTCTTAGGGTAACCATAAGAAATTACCACAGACAGGGAGGTTTAAACTAGCAAAAATGTACTCCCGGACAAGTCTGGAGGCTAGCAATCTGAAATCAAGGTATAGTCAAGGGCATGCGTTCTCCGAAGTTCTAGGGGCGGATCCTTATCTCTTCCTAGCTTCTGAGGGTGGCCAGCAATCCTTGGCATTCCTTGTCTTACAGACTCATCACTCTAATCTCTCTCTGCCTCCATTGTCACATGGTGTTTCCTCTGATTGTGTCTGTCTCTGTTTTGTTTTCTTATAAGGATACCAGCCATTGGAGGAGAGTCCATCCTAATCTGCTGTGACCTAATTTTAATGACTTACATCAAAAAGGCCCTAATGCCAAATAAGGTTATATTTTGAAGTTCTGGGTAGATGTGGATTTATAGAGGACACCATTCAGACCAGTATAAGGATTAACACATAATATGTAAAACACAAAAACAAAAAAGAGCATCAGTGTGAATTCTTATTTGCTCTGAGGATGGAACACTTTCTACTGGGAGAATTAAAAAAAGTGATGTACACATTTCACAATAAATACATTTTAAATTAGTTCTTGTCAGTAACATAACTTAAATTTAAAAACTCCAACAATAATTTAGAAAAAATAACAGATATAAACAGGAAAAACATAACTCTCTTTCATATACAAAGGTAGTATATATAAATAGATATGAAAAATATTTCAGTCTTAGGAAAAATTGGACATAGAGGTAACAAAATCATGAAGGAATAAATACAGACGGCTTATGAAATTCATAAGTATTCAACTATATTAATAATTAAGTGCAGTTACATTAAAACAGCAGCAAACTATTTTTAACTATCAAAGCAGCAAAAATAAAGAGAAGAGATAACAATGATGGTGAACATTGTCATGGGAGAATAATGGAAGAATAAATAAGTACAACCTTTCTTCTAGAAAAACAAAAGGATTGACATGTATCAAGAACCTTAAAAATGCTCCTACCTTTTGAATTTGTAATAACACTTCTAAAAGTCAAACCTAAAGGAATAATCTTGAAACCTATGAAGCATAAAGAATTAGAAATGAAAAATTGGTATCAAAGAATGAAGTACTATCTTGAACAATTAAAAACACTGTATTGTTGAGGATTTATTGCAGAGAATGTAATCCAGTCTAGTTCATTTAAGCATAAAGGGATTTATTTAAGTGGGTTTTAGAGTTGGTGGGAGGGAGAAGAAACGCTGAGGGAACAGAGATCAACTCTGAGAGCCACTGGCAGAAGCTGCTGCAGTCAGTGGAGTGCGGAATCAGGCAGCCGCCTGCCATGCTGGGAAGCTGCAGCTCCCGCTGCTCGCTCCAGACTCACACTATGTTAGTCTAGTGATAGTCAGAATCTGACTTTGAAAACAGGCCCCTGATCTCTCCTCATTTAATTCAGTTCAGATTTCAAGACACACAGTTACATCTCAGGCTGTAACCTACACCACAACTAGAACCCTTGCTGTAAAAAGTTCAGGAAGTGTAGTTAGCTCTCCAGATTCTGAGTAGAGTACGTCACACAGGGAGGTTGAAATGGACATTGTGTGAGCCCATCCGTATATTTGCAACACCCCAAACATCCAAAATATAGGAAATGCATTCAATGGTTTTAAATGACTTTGGAAATACTTTTGATTTAGTGTTTACTTAAGGAGCACGAGATGGAAGCATATATAATGCATGATCTCAACTGTGTAAAAAACATATAGGGGACAAAACAATGTAGAGAAATATGCCAGTGCATTAAACACATGAAACTATGGGAGATTTTCTTTCTCATAAGTATACCTTTTCTACAATAATCATAAATTAATTGTAGAATCCTCATTTCTCCTGAAAACAAGCAAATTCATGTTTGATAAATAAATGCAAGAATTAGTGACATAAAGAGAAAATAAGTACCCATTGCTATTTGTTTTGCTGTTTTAGGGTTTAAAGAAATCAAGGAAAAGCTTTTTCAGTCCCCTCTAAACCTGGCTTTTTCACAGCAGCCTTGAGTGGTAGCTGCTGGGATAATAGTATAGGAAGCACAGTTTAACCATTTAGATAATGCATTTAGGTCTTGTGTGTATGTGTTTGTCTTAGGCAATATATAGATAAATATATGTAAATATCAATCTATAATATTAGTATGTGTAACATGCAAATATATAATTTTGTATAAATATAGGTATACATAATATTTATGTTAAAGTATATGACTAGTATATTAGTTAGTGTTCTCCAGAGAAACAGAACCAAAAGGAAATATATAGGTAGATAGATGAGACTGAATGACAGAGAGATTGATTTGTTATAAGGAATTGATTATGGGGGATAGGAAGTCCCACCATCTACTATCTGCAAGGGGGACCCAGGAAAGCTGGCGGGTTAGCTTTAGTATGAGCCCGAAGGACCAAGAACCAAGAAAACCAATGGTGTAAGTTCTAGCCCAGATCCAGAGGCCTGAGAACTGATAGTGTAAATTCTAGTCCGAAAGCAGAAGACTGATATCCTAGCTCAGTAAGCAGGTAGAGGGAGTAAATTCTCACTTTCTCTGATGTTTTGTTCTATTCAGATACTAAAGAGATTGGACAGTACACACCCACATGGAAGCGCCATCTCTTTTACCCAGTTCACCATACAATGATAATTTCATCTGGAAATGCCCTTGTAGACACCCCAGAAATACCATTAACAAAATATCAAGGCACAAAAAAAAAAAAATATCAAGGCACCCTGTGACTTAGTCAAGTTGGCACAAAAAATTAACCATCAGAACTACATAGAATCTTAAGTTAATCTATACTAATACAAGAGTAATATGCTAATTAGATCAGGTCAACCGGACATCTTCCAGATGCCCGACTTCCTTATGGACAAACCACGGTGGCGGGGGCTGAGGCAGAGGCAGTTAGGGGCAATCAGGCCGGCAGGGGAGCAAGCAGTTAGGAGGCGATCAGGCCAGCAGGGGAGCAAGCAGTTAGGAGGCAGCCAGGCTGGCTGGCAGGTGGGCAGTTAGGGGGTGGCCAGGCCAGCAGGGGGGAAGTTAGGGGGCGATCAGGCTGGAAGGCAGAGGCAGTTAGAGGTGATCAGGCAGGCAGGCAGGGGGGCAGTTAGGGGGCGATCAGGTCGGCAGGGGGGCAGTTAGAGGTTGATCAAGCTGGCAGGGGACCAGTTAGGGGGCAATCAGGCTGGCAAGCAGAGGCAGTTAGGGGCAACCAGGCAGGTAGGCAGGCACGCTAGTGGCTAGGAGCCAGTGGTCCCGGATTGTGAGAGGAATGTCCAACTGCCAGTTTAGGCCCCATCCCGGCAGTTGGACATCCCCTGAGGGGTCCTGGATTGGAGAGGGTGCAGGCCAGGCTGAGGGACTCCCCCCCCCCTTGTACGAATTTTGTGCACTGGGCCTCTAGTATTAATATATAAAGAAACCAATTTTATTTATTAATCATAATTATAAATCAATGAGTAAAATATTGCTTGTAAATAAAAATGAAACCCAGAAATGCAACATGTATATGGTCTTTTCAAAGTTAACTAGCGATATTATATACTTTATGTTCTCATAGAATGCTGCTTTTAATTAAAATTCCATTGGTAGTTTGGAGTGAATAATTTTTATTGTTTAGCAACTATGATAAAATCCACTCATTTTTCAGTGTCTTTTCTCTTCGTTAGATATTAGAGATTTTCTTTTTGGAAAATTAGCAATTTTCTTATTTAAATCATTTCCTGGAATAGAACTATCTAAGTAGAGTGAACTTTTTTTCCCCCCTATTATCCTTCCTTGTGAGGCAGCTTTTATTGCTAAACAGCTGTCTGGACCATGCTTTCCAACTTAGCATATGACCCAGCATGTGACTTTCCTCAGATATTCTGGGGGATGACTTAACTGCCCCACCTTATTACAAGACATCCCTGCAAGGTGATGCCAAAAGGTGTAGACTAACATGTGAAAATAAAAATAACCCAATAACAGATATAAATAAACTCTTTTCCTTAATTCATCCTTCACATATTTGGTCTCTTATCCTAATACATAATGATTATAGGGCATGCTATTAAGAAGGTTCCAATATATGCACTGTTCTGTTTTTTGTTTGTTTGTTTACTTTCCCATTTTTGAACAGTGAGCAAAGAATGATGTTATTAACCCTATTTTAGAGAGATAGAAGAATGACTGCTGTGTATATGTAACATAAAATGTGTTACTCAAAATACTTCTTACTATAGACAGACAGTGATGAAAGACAGATAGAAATGGCAGAAATTGCCACGTGCTTTGCATCTAATATAGGTATAAGTAGGGAAAATGGTTTACTTTAAAAGCTGATGTAATCTACTTGGATCACAACCTGAAATGGAAATAGATGCTCTGTTTTCAACAACTGTAATATAATTAACTCTTGGGCTCTGTTTTTACCTAGCCACAGAATCAACTGCTTTGCAGTCTCCTCAGGTTTGTTAGGGGATGTTTGCAGTTCATGACTTGGGAGAATTGAAGGTGAAATGAAATGAATATATGATTAGTCCTTGAAGTTGAAGAGAACAAGTGAAACACACCTCATCTCCTTCTTTGTTATTTTCTTCACTTTGCTGTTTCCGTCTCCATCTTTGTTCAGTGTGACAGAAAATAATGGGATCAGTGATTGGGAGGGGAGGGATTTTTGTTCCTTTTCTCTCTTTGTATCTCAGTCTCTGTATCACACAAGCTTCTGATTGCCTGATTTTGTCTTTCCTTTTTTTTTTTTTTTTTTTTGCATTTTAAATTAACATTCTCTTCCTTTTGTCCCTTTGTTTTCTATTGTCATGTTCTCTCTTTTCCTTCCCTTTTCCATCTGTCCCCACTCCTCCTCTTCTTTTTCCCAGATGATGGGATAAATTGGAGAGTTAGGGCAGTGATGGTGTGATGAGCAGGTTGGGTGTCTGAAAGGACAAGCAGCTCAGGTGAAGTCCATCTTGGTTCTGGGAGGTACATTAAATATGGCTGAAGGGATTTCCCAGGAATAGGCTTGAGATGGTATCTCCAGTATGTGATATAGTCTGCATGGGATGTGTTGGGAACCATGACATTCCACACTTCCAGTAGAAGATACAAAATCACTGAAAGTACCAGTGGAGAAGAAGGGGCCCAAGGTTGGGAAAAGCAGCCATGAATTACTGGGACAAGAGAGGGGGCCACTGACTTCAGTAGTGGTAGCCAACTTGGTGACCAGAAGAACCAGAGGTACCAACCACAGTTCATGGACAGCAGTGCTGGACCCGAAGGACAAGAAAAGATCAACCACACTAGAGACAACCTAAGGATCCACCATTTCTAGGAGGAGCCAGAAGGTGAGGAGGAGGAGGAGAGATCTCCTGACGGGAAAACCAGCTCTGGCAGAGTTTTCATTTTAAGTAGATGTGCTATTTACCCCAAAGACTGTTTTACTTCAAAGACACTGAATTGCTTTTAATTGACAAATTTAAGGTTTTTTCATGCCATTAGCAAGAATGGGAGCACCAGAATAAGATGAAGGCACTGTAAGGCAGAAAAAATAGTAGCCTTTCAAACAGGAGTTGT